AGCTTCCTGTTGCTGTTTGCATACGGGAGAATATCAGACCGGAGCATCTTCATTAAGACTGCTTTGGTGGCACGCCCACCAAAAACCAGCTCATGAAAGCCTTCTTGAGGGTCATTAGTTGGCAGAGCAGGGAGATGAATGGGGATCGGGCTTGGGGTTTGCAGAGACGGTCGGTCTGAGCCAGGAGACATAGTAAGAAGGCTTGGAGAGTGGTGGCCCAATTGTGATTGCTGAGGAGAGGGTGAAGAGAGCCTTGAGGCATGCGGGGTCAAAGGCAATGGAAGTGGGGGCCAATGGAAGGGGGAGGCAGGCTCATACCCCTTCCCAACGACGAACTCTTGAAGCCGATCTCGCCACTGCTGGTAGTCAGGATACTCATTCGCTTTCAGTGACCTACAGTACATCAAGAAATCCTTGAAAACAGCAGGAATGTTGCTGCAGAGACCTCCCACAGCAGTAGTTGCTTTGGTGGTTTGAAGGATCTGCTGTCCGTGGTGGTCGTCTTGCTGAGGCATCCCCCTCCTGGCCCAAGGGAGGCCGTATGGCTTGATCAGATGGATGAGGCTGAGGGCGAGGGCCTCGAAATCATCCCGGTAGGTGTAGGCTGTTGATCAGAAGATCAGATGGGTGTTAGATCAAAACTGATCAGGCTACATACCTGCTCCCTCACAATGGACCCGGTTTGAACTAGGAAAGGAATATTAGGGTACAAGTAGATATAGAAGGAGAAGGCACATACGTGAAGAAACTCATCGGTAGATCCCCATCGTCCATGAATCTCAGTGGATGGCGGACAGATTTACCATAGCCAAAGCTTGTCAGGTAGACTATCTGCTCCATGCCAGGCATGATCCCAATTGCACAGTTCTCCAGTCTGATGTCACGATGTAGGATACCATGATCGTGAAGAAGTGCTAGGCGATCAATCTGAGATGTACATACTCATGTGAGTGATGATCAAAGGGAGATAGCAGTAAAACCCACCGATTGCATTCCGATACAGCAAACACTGTGTGCATCCAAGCAGCTACGACCACTCTCTGCAAGCAATGTTCCAACAGTAGGACCCAAAAGCTCAACTCCGATGTACTCCCAATCCCCCACTGACCCGCCTGAAAATAGTTCCGGGATTCCCTCGGATTTAGCGGGAAGCAGCGAGTATATTCGCTTCTCGTAGTAAACAGTCGACTTCGAGCGAGTTTTTGGCCGATGCTCGACCTTCAAAGCAACATCAGTTCCGGTGTCACGGTCGGTGGCCAGAAAGACATTGGCTAATATACAAAGTCAATCAGGGATTACTTCAATGATTTCTGATAACACACCAGATCTCTCGGACTCCAGTATTTGATGAAGATCAAAGTTTCCGAGTGTAGGGGGGACTTGAAGATTGGTGGAGGTTTGCGAGGACATGGCGACGGTTTGTATTGAGAGTCAAGATTCAAGGTTGACGGTTTCCTTTGTGCGGAGGCCGCCTCATGGCCAAAGCGTCCGCCGCAAGTTTGCACTGACACCTAATAACCCCGAGATTGTCGCGGGACCTATATGCATGGCCTACCTCTCGAGTAACATCCAACTCAATGATATCAAGCAAGGTGAATGAGAAAATAGGCTTTATTTCAACCACCATGCAATGTTGAAATAAATACGACTTCATCACCATCTTTGAGCACGTACTCGCCCTCCCCCTCGAGCTCCCAGTCCGTGTCATTTATCAGGACTAAGATCCCCGGCCGGCTAATCCACGACAAGGCGCCATTTAGTGAGTAGACATTCAACGCATCGAAGGCAAGGGGACTCACACAGTCTCCTTATCCATGAAGAGCTCCGGTCGCTCCTTCAACAAATGATCGCGCAGATGGTGCAGCAGGTACGTGACATCCACGCGTTTCCATCCGTCTGCGATCGGAGCGTCGTCGCTCGTCGCCGAGTCGGTATCGGGATCAAGATTAGGTGGTGAGTGAGCGGTTGAGTTGTCGGAAGGAACGAGCGCCGGGAGCGTAAGTTTGTGGGAGCGTTGGTTCGCGAAAAGCAGCTCTAGTCCGCCGCCGAATTCGATTTTGAGCGAGACGGACGACGCCATGGAGGAAGAGCGAAAAGAGGCGATGGAGATCGAAAGCGCGTATGTGAGTAGCGCGGCCGCTCGTGGAACGTTGGAGTAATCGTAGCAGCGGTAGACTACTTGAACTTGCACGAAGCGATGATCACTGGCAAGTTCAAGAGACGTAGTTACAATCGCAAGAGTTCCCATAGAAGGCAATGTTTGCTAACTGATTGACGCCCATAACACAGGGGCGCATGGTGTAGTTGGTTATCACGCCCGCTTAGCATTCATACCGTCTGTCTTCGCTTGCGGGAGGGGTTGGGTTCAATTCCCAATGTGTCCATTCTTTTTCTGAGTTTCTTACATCGGGCTACACATTTTTTACGATGTTCGAATGTTCAACGTTTAGGCGAACGCGCTCCTCGGAGAAGCTGGACTACTACATATGGAAATCTGATCAGACTACCGAAACCGATATCAACGCTAAGCGCTAAGCGCTGATCGTAGTTGACCTTCTACCACCATGATCCCCTCACTTCCCACCGAAATATGGCTTCAGATCGCTTCTTACATCCCAGAACGAGATATGCACAAGCTGTACAGTCTGAGCCGCGCTTTCTACGAGCTCGGGATGGATGCTATCTACCAGGACCTACGGGTTCGTACGTTCACCAGAGGAATGGTCGCCAGAATCCAAAATGCCAGGTAATGTAGTCTCCGTTTTGTGAGTATATAGCCTCTGATTCTCCTTTGTAGCAACAAGCCATCCTTATCGTGCCGCGTTCTGGGGCTGGATATACACCTGGATGCTTTCGACGCCCTAGTAGCCTCCAGAGCGCAGTCGTCGCTGGGCCTCCTGGCCTCGTTATTTTATCGAGATCAAGGGTTTCATCACCCAACACACATGAGCTCTCCAGAAGTATTCTCAATCCTCTTGAAATCGATCAAGTGCATGACGAAGCTTCGTCGGTGTCGCCTCCGCATAGCCTCCCACCACCCCATTGAAACCTCCCTACCATTCATTCGAGAATTCTGGGACACACTTCGCGGCCGCATTGATGATCTGACATTGGAGGTACCGGGGATTGGCCTGTGGCTTGTTCTTCCCGTCTTCACAGACTTGTCGCAGCTGCGGTCACTGTCACTGATTTTGCCCGACGACGTCGGCGGATGGGGTCTATTTTATACCTCGGAATGTGCAGTGAATTTCTTTAATCGCGCTGCTCGCAGTCTAGAATGCTTGAGTCTCATCTCAGCCCCCGCTACTCCCGTACAGCACCTCCGGTTGATCTTGATTCGCCTGTGTGAGACGCAACACCAATTCCCTCGAGAACGCATTGCTTATCTTATCTGAATTCTAGATCAATTCCCTAAACTGCAGAAAGTCCATTTCGACATCCAGTTCGACGACATCACTGGGTACAACGTAGCCCAGTTTCTCAACGTACACGGCCAGCATATTCACGAACTGACCCTCATCCCCCGCATCTCCGCCAACTCGGATACCACCCCGCTTGCGACACTCCGCCTCCCCGCCTTACAGAAGCTCTCGATGAATTTTCAGTTGGAGACTTTGCAGTTCAACCGATTCTGGGCGTCGGGCTTCCTCACCTTCACGAGTCTCACCCACCTCCGCATAGACACCCCCTCCCTCGCACACGACAGATTCAGCCTGATATGCGATGCCTTTGGGAGGCGTATAACCAGCCATCAAGTTTATAACGTTCATTTCAACCTGCTCATTCTGAACAGCATGGTTTTCGACCGTTTGCTCTTGAGTTTCCCCGCTCTGCGCACGCTGTCTCTCACAGCCAACTTCCTTTCGGAGCCAAACGAATCGGGTGTCTGGGATACCGTGCGTATCTTCCCTCCTCTCATCCTTCTACTCTAACATATTCTCATTGGGCATCGACGCAGGCTGGCTTCGCCCAGGATTTGGAAGACCTTAGTTATCCAGAATGGTCCCTCCACGACATCACCCTCTCCCACCCCTCCCAAGCGCATCCCGAAGACCCAACCGCCGCATCCTACGAAGCCATGTGCATAGCAGCGAAATCCATACCGAGCATCCACAGCTTTTGCGGCTGGGGAAATATGGACGAACCATGCGATGTCAGGCTCGAGCGGAACGCGAGGGAGACATAGCGCTCTCGTTACGCCCTTTCCGAAGCCTTGCACGATGTGACCCAGTGCCCCGCCAGAAGACCCCCTTTCCGCTGAAACCTTCGAGCAACCGCCAAGCACGCCCTGGTCTGCGGCACCCCTCACCGCAGCCCCTTCGACGGCTCCTGAGCGGACACCCCGTGTCGGCCATCCATCGGGCACATGGTGTAGTTGGTTATCACGCCCGCTTAGCATCCATATCGACATCCTCGCTTGCGGGAGGGGTTGGGTTCAATTCCCAATGTGTCCATACAGAATCTTTTCTGCTATGTTTTCTTTTGCTGTCGTTGGAGTCGGTGCGTAGGCCTGGAGCCCCGCTATTATTTCTGCGCGATTTTTGATACCATAAATACAGGTCATCAAACGGTGTCGAAGACACCCGCATATCCCGCCACATTCGTGTATCCACCCACCCACCGCCGTCTACCAGCTTGAAAGGACCGCCAGAAACCCATAGCATTCACGCTGCGCCTATATCTTTTCAGTGGAGTGATGCATGCGCCTATCTTGAAGCGACGCGGGCCAGCCTGCTGCTCGAAACCCCCCTTCCCCCTCCGCCTCCGGACCCTCTGCGCAACCACCCGATCGTGCGACGCACGCCTCGCCTGCCTCCTCGCAAACCCGCAAAACATCGCAAACCCGCAAACCCCCACCACAGCGACGTAGCCCGACTCCCATCGTACATTCTCCCATTGTACACCCTCCCTTCGTACACCCTCCCTTCTCCCTTCGTACACCCTCCCTTCTCCCTTCGTACATTGTGCCACAGTGCATCCACCCCGCCTGCCCACCCACCGGGCACATGGTGTAGTTGGTTATCACGCCCGCTTAGCATTCACGCGCTCTGTCTGTTTGTCTGCGGGAGGGGTTGGGTTCAATTCCCAATGTGTCCATAAAGCGTATTGTAGCTGTCCTCATATTTTTATTTTTTATTCCTTTTTTATTCCTTTTTTTTATTCCGTTTTTCTCACCCATGTGCCCACACTGCAACAACAAGGAGGAAACTGTACGGCACTTCCTCATCGAGTGCCCAGCATACGACATCGAAAGAGCCATACTACAGGTAGAGAGCAAAAACTTTGACCTTCCCCTGAAGGTCCTCCTCTCCACAACGAACGGCATGGAGGCAACCATTGCCTTCGCCAGGCGTACTGGGCGCCTCAACAACCCATTCGGAAATTTAGAAGGAGACCTGGTGGCGCCAAGGAGGGCAGCCGTACTGAAAGAAAAGAAGTCGAGGATGGAGGAAAAGAGAGTCAAAAGGAAGGCAGGAAAAGAGAGGAAAGGGCGGGTAGGGGCGGAGCGACGGTTATGAAGGTCGTTTACCGCGGTTTGCTCGAGTGCGAGCCGGATTCTGGCAGGGAGGACTCCGTTCTAGTGGCGTTACGACACCTCAAGACTCCTCAAGACAATCTTCTTCTTCTTACCTTGACAGCTTCGATCTCGCTCTCCCTCGGGACGAGCACCTCACACGGGAGGCCACGAGCCAAGTAGCCGACTCACCCACACCAGAAGCTCCCCATAATGCACTAGCGTCGGATTAACAGCGGTTTCACTCGCTGGGCGGCAGGGGGACGAGGTCCTGGACCGTCCGTCTGTCGTGCTTGAAGAGCTAGGGGGTCAAGGCGGGCATAGGGGCCCTTTATATTCATCATATATACACACTGGTAGACATAGAGTATCGTAGTACAGTGCCGTCCGCATGGAGACTCTCCGAAGGACGTTAAACAGAGACCAAAAAAAAAAAAAAAAAAAAAAAAATTCCGTTTTTATTGGAAGCGCGGCGGTCATCCGCATTTGCTCTGGAGGGTCTACGCGAGGACCTATACGCGATGCACCGCGTAACATCAGTATACATACCCTGCTTCAAACCCCCATTACCCATTACCCCATTACCCCCATTACCCCACACTCAATACCCCGACGGACCTCAACTCAACTCGACAAGCGTATATCCTATACCCACCGCTCAATCCCCCCACAATCGTACTATCTTCCCCATCCCTCGCCGGGCATATGGTGTAGTTGGTTTATCACGCCCGCTTTGCACTCGTATTTGGTTGCTTGCGGGAGGTGTTGGGTTCAATTCCCAATGTGTCCAATCATCAGTCCGTAATACCTTTTTCATCTCGAGCATGGTCGACGAATTGTTCCTTTTTCACCTCTCAAGCAAGTAGATAACTGTCACTGTTCACATAATTCTGGTTCTTAGTGCGTACATACCCATCCATCCATCCAACACATCTCCACAAAAGCCGTACGCTAACGGCACGACATTAATATTCAAGACATCCCTCCTCCCAACCCTACGACCCAACACCATCCAAGCCCCAACACCACCCAACCCCCATCATCCCCAAAGCTCCTCCGGATCCACCTCCCGCGGCCCTTGCTGCGCCCCGTTAGTGGTACCAGTGGAATCCGGCGCCCGCGCAGCGCGGTAGAGCGCCTCGTCCTCCGCCACGAGCACGACCCTCTTCGGCCTACAGAACCTCCTGTACACAAAGCCCGCGATCAACGCCAGCGGGTGGATCGCTGTGAACACCAGCGCCGTAACCTATCACACCACATAAGCAAAACGCATGCAATGAATATAAGGATAAGCATATAAGCATGTAAGGATATAAGGATAAGCAAGGCAGCTCACGTAGACGGCCGCGGGCTTGGGGCGCTCGCTCCACAGGCTGACGCAGATCCAGACGGCGGCGATGCACCAGACGATGTCGCGGCGGGCGGCGATGATGAGGGCGCTGAAGAGGTTCGTGAGGAAGACGGCGAGGAAGCCTGCGAGCTGGTATTGGGCGTAGTCGCGCGGGATGTCGGGCGCGGTGGGGGTGTAGGTGTATCCGAGGTACACACTGTATCCAACGAATCAGCGAATTAAGGAGTGACCTTACGCCGAGGCACGGTTTTTGCGCGGGTTGAAATACGTACAAGAGGGAGTACTCGAACATTATGGCCATTGGGAGGATCAAGAAGAACCGCATCGGGGCGTGTATGAGGGCGATGTCGAGCGGGCGCGCGCTCGTGGGGGCGTGGTATACGAGGAGGTTGAGGTTCGAGTAGAGGAGGAGGAGCGTGAGCAGGCCTAGCAGGATCGTAGACGCGAGGAAGAATTGGAATATCCAGGTTATTGCCCAGGCAGCCATTATCCAGTTGGAGAGGATGAGGGCGAAGCCTACGCCTTTGACTATCGCTTGCTATTCCCGGATGAGAGGTGGAGGTCTGGTCAGTGGTGCGCCGCGGACGCTGTGGGCGTGCGTGTGGGGACGTACTTTCGTCTCGGGTTTGCGGGCGACGGTGAGGAGGACGCAGTACCCTATCTGGGCTGCGTAGATGAGGAGAACATACGCGCCGATAACGACGGCTTTTGGGGAAATGGGTGCGGGGTAGAGTCTGAATATTCCGCCTGCATTTCCGCCGCATATCAGCAGCATTAATTAGAACATCGACTCTCTGATAGCGGGGAACTTGGAATGGGTGTGGACGCACGGATGGAGGGGTCGGCGACCAGCGAGCACGTTAGGACGGAGCCTATGTTGATGAGGAGAGACAGCGGTGTGAGGACTTGCAATCTGTGGAAGAGCGTGAGTCGCTGGACCTTTGGAGGGAGTCTTTGGAGTTAGAGTACGCACCGGATGAGGAGGAGGTAGTCTCGCACATGGGGATTGTTCATGTCGATGGGGAGCTCGTTCATCATCTTCGCGGTCGTGTTCGTGCTCGTGAGGTCTTCGTGATGGCAGTGATGGTGGTGGTGGTGGTGCGGGTCTGAGTTGCAGTGCGTCGTTCTTCAACTTGGTATTTTGTATTTTGAAATTCCAATGGCGAGGAGGAGCCCCTGACGTAGGAGGAGCTGTGACGTCACCTCGTCGTTCCAACTTCCTCCAAAAAAGATTCCACATAAAAATGGACAGTGGACGCATTGGGAATTGAACCCAACACCTCCCGCAAGCAACCAAGTGTGAGTGCAAAGCGGGCGTGATAAACCAACTACACCATACGCCCTTGAAGTGTTGTAGCACAAAAGTGGGTCAGACGCTTGTTCATTTAAGTGTGTTAGTGGAGTTCCTCAAGTTACAACGTAACGGAGACCACAATCCAGTACCCACTCCCAGGACCAACAAGGAGAAGCGAAGAGACTCTCGAACTAATAGTGTCTATACTATTTTCTGCAAGACCCCGCCATGTGTAGTATATCATGATAATTTATTCATTCGAGAGGTTCAAAGGTTCAAACGTTCAAAGTTCAAAGTTCGAAGTTCACCTTAGGCCACGGCATACTTCGAGTAGAGGATGGGCGTATATTCTCAATACCAGCAATGCAGTGGAGGAATCTGTCAAGTTGTTTCAGTGCCGCTTCTACATTGTTCGTCCGTTTCTGCTTGCAGGACACCCTATCCTAGACCCCTGACCCCGTGATGTCTCTGTCGCCAGGCCTCCGAAGGCTAACGCTAGCGATGAACGGACCCTTGGGACTCCAGAGCTCCAAGCTCCAAGCTCTCCATTGCTACCAAAATCCAATATGTCTTCGAATTCAGAGTGACTGCTAAGCCGGGATATCAGAAACCCATCCTATTTATCAAGTGTACGAGCCCGGGAGATGTCGAGGTGTGCGTGTGAGGCACTTTCGATATTCAACGTTCAACGCAGTAGGCAGGCAGGTGGCTTTTTTTCTTCTAACCTGTATGATAAACGTGATACTTACGTGGAACTCGACCCAAGTCGCAGGTTCTCTCGCGCAGTCCATAATCCAAGTTCAAAAATCTAGACGAATGGCTGGGTTTGCAAACCACGCCATAATCCACAAGTTCGGCTCAAATCGACAAGAAAGCGCTTTATCTAACCATGTTCCTGACATTTGTGATCATCTTTCGAGTCGAGGTGATCAATCTGACAGCCTTCTTGATGCTGCTCCATAAACGGTATTGCAAGACCACTTTACACTTGTCCAACTCAAGTTTCACGGGGCCTCCATCGACTATGCAAATGACCTTGGAGAAGCCTCTAAATGCACACAGTGCCTTCAAACTTCAGTCTAGACTCCACTAGTACGGTCCGCGGATAGCGTTGGCATCCCCCTCCCTGATCATCAGAAAAGGACGACCAACTATGTCGTTCCAGAATCAGCGTCGAACTGAATAACATCACCTTTGAATCACCATGCATGTGCACCCGACGGTGTGCGCATATAGTATCATTGATGAACTGACGTCTGAGTCTGATGTACCTATTTCAGCTTTCCACCATCTCACAGCCAAGGTGAAATCAACTTCGATTGGTGTTGATGTATCGATGTATCAACTACTGATAGCGGTCCTTGGGATGGGGTATATAAACTCACGTCGACGAAGCACCGAGTACTCCCATCCTTGCTACTGATGACCGACTGGAACAGTCCCGACGTGATAGACAATAACGCAGGTGGGTACCCCCACACAAAAAGAATTCACTCTCGTTCCAACTCACTGACTTACGGTGCACTAGTCTCGCTCGATAGGGCTCTGCATGCATTCTTTGGTCTATTCATGTAGGTTCATGAGTCCCCGTGACGAATGAAGAATAACTGAACCCTCCCTCCCCGGATGTACACAGTTGGGAGTGGTTCACGTCCCTCGACGCGGACTGGAGGTACGTCAGTAATGTCAGGCTCTGGGCGCGACCCCCGTTGGTGAGTTTCTCTGCCAACGAGGCTTGTTCCTTCTACAAATACTCATATCTGTATTCGGCTAGATGTTCCGCTTCCTGAACCGCTACTGTCTCCTTTCTGCTATGATCGGTCTGTAAGTAGCCATCGTCATCTACGCGCTCCGATCACCGAATCCTGACATCGTCATGTACAGGACGATAATCCTCAACATTACACGGTGGGTACAATCCAAAGTGCACATTCACTATACATAAGCCTCATTTCGCCCCAATGCAGCGAGGGCCTGGTCAACTGCCAATCCTCGTACGCCTCCACCAACGCAAGTCGCCCTTCCACCTTACTACATGTGTTCATCCTGGCTTATGTGGCTTATATGGCATTCAGCTATTTGTCAACATGGCCCTGGAGCTCGCGAGCATGGGGCTCACCGCGCGGATGTGCGTCAGTATCCCGCTGACCGTGGGCCTGTTGCTCACTGTACCTCCGCAGCGTCGCGCTATGGGGCCGAGGCTGGACGCTCGCCCGCGTCGTCCGGATCGCATTCGTCGTCGCCTGCTTGAATGTCCAAGGGTGGTTTCTATTTCACGGTACGCCCACCCTCCCGCTGCACGTATCGTATCGTATGTGTGTGCCTACTAAGGCCAACTTTTGCAACATCAGTATCCGTTGAAGCTGCCTGGGTCCCTGGCGTCGGCTGCGCCATCACTGGAGCTGACGATTCCTTCACAAATACTCGTATCGGGGCTCTCTTTCACTCGGGATACGCGCTCGTGCTACTGCTTTGTGCTGCGTGGAGCCACGCCTCTCCATTCGACGATCACGGCATGGTCCACCCCAATAGGATATCGCTGAAGGAATTGTGCTGGTTTGGCGTGGCGTAAAATATCTTCTCTCTGCGCTCGCGACTCGTGTTGATTGATCTTCGTGGGGTTTATGCAGCTTTCTCGCATTCTGCACGAACGCTATCTTCCGGTGGATAGACCTAAACGGTGTCATGGCGACAATCGTCACCATACCTTCTATCATCGTCGTCTCTGTGCGTGACCCCTTCTCCCAAGTAATCAGTCCCAGTGCATCATCTCATGATATCAAAGATCGCCTCAGGCCGTATAATCCTCCTTTGGCAGCATCCAACTCGAGCGCCCACTGTACTCCCCGAAGCGACAGAGCACAAATCCACACCACCCGCGTCCCCGCACAGACACCGAACGACCGGGACATTCAGCTTCAGGAAGTGGCACCTCGCCCTCGGCCGCCCCGCGCGCACGAGCCTCCGAGTCGGCGACGCGGCGGACTTCCAGAGGCTGCGCAGTGCCCCCCCCTCGCGACCGGGGTCGTACTACTGGGATGATGATCCGCTGGCGGGCGGGGTGCGGGGTGCGGGGTCTACGAGGCCGTCGTCGATCGCGGTCCCGTCTGTAATCGCGCCGTCGGAGACGTATGATCCGCATCGT